GCTCGATACTGAGACAATCATGACCTGGAGACTTGCCCCTAGACATAGATTTTTTGACTTTTGCTACATCTTTCACACTTTATCTGTCCCCTACTCCATCAATGACTGTCCCAGCATCTTGCACCGATTCATAAGGTAGATGACCCTCGTATCGACTTTACAGAGAAAGGCTCCCTAAAGAGGTTGGCAATATCCTTTGGGTTATTCACCCCGCCCACACTTACGGGAAGGCCAGGCCGAATTCTCATCTTATTAGTACTTTTCCAAAAAGCACTAATATCTTATTTCATCTATTTCAATTTTTTGAATTGATATATATTTTGCATGGCAGACATATAATATTGAGGGTTCTATTACCCAAACAGACAATGAACTTCAGTGGCGTCCATAAGCGCTAACTATAGCACTCGCTCTAATCTAGTCTTTAGATTAAACTAAAATTGCTACTTCTATTAACTTAAATACTTGTTTTTAACTATTCTTTAGTAATAGTCATCACCATATTCCATCCCTCTGGCAGCAATGAATTTGATTATTGCTTACTGATTAACCGTACTCGGCGATGAAGGAAAATATCGTGAAGATTGCTGCATGTCCCAAAAATTGAAAAAAAAAACGAAGGCCATATACTATCTTGTCCTAAAATCCTCTCAGCGATGAGAGAAGGCCCTAAAGTGAAACATAAATAGGCCGTTACTTTATTTCCTTTATTTGCTTTTATTTTATGTTCGAGATTTGATCTAAATGTATCAGTAAAAAAGGACTGTATTATTTTCACTAGATTGTCACTGCTGTGTAGTACTACATAGGCTGCACTAAAAGTATCGAGAATGGAATATTTCCACTGTTCCTGTCATATTAAAATCTTTTTAATTGAAAACTTCTTGATTTTAAAAATCGAATACCATTTATTTATTTTAAAAAAAAGATTCTCGGTCCTGTCACAAGGTTTTGTCAAACTTGTTTAATCGTTGAGAAAATGGAATTGACTCGAGAAAATTCAAGAGCGATGATTTATTAAGACTTTCGAAGTGGTTTAACACAAAAACAGTGGTGTGTTGACCGGGTGATTTCTGCATTTGATGATGAAGCCCCATCCAAAACCACAATTTATCGCTGGTTTGCTGAATTTCAACGTGGACGTGTCAAGTTCAGTGATGATCCCCGTCAAGGTCGTCCAAAAACTGCAGTCACCCAAGAAAACGTTGATGCTGTGCGTAAGCTGAGTGAGGAAGATCGACATGTGACATACCGCGAAATTTAAGCAACTTTAGACATTGGCATGAGTCAAATACAAATAATCTTGCATGAACAATTAGGTATAAAAAAGTTGTTTTCCCGATGGATACCGCATTCGCTCTGTGAAGAGCAAAAAGCGGCTCGCGTTACTTGGTGCGTCACAACTCTCGAAAGATTCCACGCAGGATCCTCAAATGCTGTATACGATATCATATCAGATGACGAATCCTGGATATATGCGTACGAACTCGAAACAAAAAACCAGTCACGAGTTTGGGTGTTCGAAAATGAGTTAAAGCCAACAAAAATTGTTCGTTCACGGAGTGTTGCAAAAAAAATGGTGGCCACGTTTGTCTCCAAAACCGGCCATGTTACGACTATTCCTCTTGAGGGATAAAGAACGGTTAATGCAGAATGGTATGCTAGTATTTGTTTCCCACAGGTCGTTTCTGAACTCCGTAAAGAGAACTGCAACCGCCGCATCATCCTCCATCACGACAATGCGAGTTCTCACACCTCACACAGAACAAAAGAGTTTTTAGAGCAAGAAAACATAGAATTATTAGACCATCCATCGTACAGCCGCGACCTAAGCCCTAATTATTTCTATATTTTCCCGAAAATAAAGAATAAATTGCGTGGACAGAGATTTTCATCATCTGAAGAAGCTGTGGACGCCTACAAAACGGCCATTTTGGAGACCCCAACTTCCGAATGGAATAGTTGCTTCAAAATGTGTCAAATTTCGCGGAGAATACTTCGAAAAGCAATAAATACATTTTTAAATAGTAATGTTGCGTCAATTCCTTGATTCCCGAAATTTTCCGTACAATTCCATATATTGTGAGTGAAATTTTTCCGCCTAAATTCACTCTAAAAATAATGATATTGAAAGCTAAGAATTTTTGAAAATATTAACAATATTTTTTGATATATAATACGTTTCGGAAATAGGTTTTTCGTATTTGTATAAAATTGAAGAAAAATCCCTTTAGTTATACTGATTGTATCTGGCTAATTTTAATATCATTATATTGTATATATTGTAGGACATTAAGAAAAAGAAAAATAAAAATAAAAAGTAAAAAACACTTTCCTGCCATTTTATGTAATTAAATATATAATAAAACATTGAAAAGTTTTCCCCGACCTTATATTTTTCGGTAACTTTTATAGAATATTTCAAGATGTCAAAGGGGCAAACTTATTACTTTCATGGGTATAGGGGAATGACTGAAAAAAAAACGCGAAACTTGTTGAAATACCGTAAATCTGCCGCTCACTGGCTCTTAAACTATAAGAAAACCACAAATATATTTTTGCAAATAATATATAAATGTGCTTTTCAATAAGGGAAACATTCCATTTCAGTCCTGTAAGAACTAAGACGATTGTGGGGATGCAAACGCATCCGAACAATTCTCAATCGGGAATATATGTACATTTAGATGTCTATAAGCTACAGTACTTTATTAACATCAACTGGAAATTTTCCCTGTTTATCGTCCATAATTGCGTAATAAAATCTAAATAAAACCATTAAAAATTGTCAATATTTTATTTCATTGTGATAATTAATAGATACAATAGTAGATGTCATTACAATATCTTATTCATTATAAATAACTTATCTTACAATAATTGGGTATATGAGCATATATTGTGTTTTTTATAGATATGTACATCTTTCTTCATGATTAAGTAATTAATAAAATTACTAACTTATTTATCATAATTTCCTACTGTAATATTTAGAATCGAAGGAAATATGAGTGAAAAGTTGTGTCTGTTTTCTTAATATTGAATATATGGAGATTGGATTACTTCATATAATCTATAAAATAATAGACTTTGGTGGCTATGGAAATATATGTTTCTTGGCACAACATAACTCCTTTCGTACGTAAATCACGTCACATGTCACGTGTAACAGCATCTTTTACGTTATAATATCTTCCCATCTTTTGAAACATTCCACAAGATTATTTTAAATACTCATATATCATCAAAAATGCTAGCGTAATTATAGATTTTCTAATTATAAGGAATAATTAATTTACAAGCAATTCTATCATCGTTGTACTTACTATATTTACGAGTAGACCCAGTTAAAATTAGTAACTATAGTCAAAAACATTTGACTTTAGGTCTAATTTGATATTAAATTAAAAAAATAATATTTGTGATTTGCATTGACACAGCACAATAAATACTTGTTTTACTAATATATTTATTTATTTATTATAAAGCCAATCAATTTTGCCTTACGGCATCATAAAATTTACATCACATTCAAGCACACACATAATAATATGTCAATACAACACAAAGATGAAATTTCACCAAGTGCCAACCATCGCAAGTATCAATTATAAAAAAAGATTCAATTGATTTTCATTTAATTGACCAAAATTTATTAGACTGTTTATTTCAGAAACTCAAAATAGAAAATTTTTATTAAAAAGAAGAGTAGCGATTTCTAATTAAAATATACATAAACCATGAATGAATATGAGTTTTATTGTAGTGGAGGGAATTAAATAGTCTTACTTTACAATTTTTATGACTGTTCTTCAAATGAGTTCATACTCAGTACATAGTTTCATAACTTTCCATCTGGTCCCAAATTACCAGTACCAATCAATGTGAATTTTAAAGAATTCGAGTACAAAAGTGTAAACAAAAACGTTATGGGGACCTAATTAGTGCCTTTAGATCTTAACACCAATCTTATAAATAGTCTTGTAAATATTTTTGTAATTAATAGGTCCTTAATTGACACCATAATAAAAAGAGAAATTTTAAAAGAAAAATTACTAAATATATTACATCATCTAAATGTGTAATTATTTTTATTTAAACTATAATTTTCAAGTCTATATGCTATGAATATATTAATTATCTAAGCACTCCAAAATCACATTACTCCTTGATGTACTTCCGTTATCTCTATAAGATTTCTTACATTTACTATAACACCAAGTGTCGTGCAGTTATTACATTTCATTGGACCAAAATTCAACCTTCAATTCACTTCATAATAATTTATGCTACTGATAGATAAAATATTCACTTAAGTAAGTAAGTATAGTAATAGTTTTCAATATTTATTCATTTAATTATACCTATAACTACTAAATTCTTGACTATTATTAAGAAATGATCTACTCGTATTCACTACAGTTTACGAATGAGGTTTTTTAACTTTTTACGATATCTGAGATTATTATTTGTATATAATATATTTATGTTACGCTTAGAAGAGATTGCTTAGAAGAATACATACGAGTATATAGACACCATTCTTGTATAGAAACTAAGAATAAAAGTGGCACTTTTAAAATTTTATTACAAAGTTTTGTGCACTTCTTACGTACTATTAAGTATATTATAATAAGTAATTAAACCATTCTGGTTGAATTTAACTTATTACTCAATAGAGAATATGGGAATATAATTATATAAATTTATATCTAAAGGAATAATGAAAACACTTCACACAAAACACTATGGTCCCTTAACAAGACACAGTTAAAGTCATCAGACGAAAATCGATGTGGCGTCGAATAACTATTGAAATCACATAAACAGTAGTCCTATGACCAAGACACTACGGAAGGATAATACAATAGACAGTTTCCAAGCGCTGAGTGCTAAAGATCTTAAGTCTAATTATCAGACTTAGGACTTTGTGCAGGACTGGGCCAAGGTGGCCTCATTTTTTCTAGCACATATTTCAGCTGGAAACTAGTATGGAAATGCTACAGGTACTCATCTATTTGGTCGTAATCTTCAACTGGAGGTGAAGGACCGGATACTGAGAGAATGGGAAGGCCAAAGTGCTTTACCGTCTCGACACTTCCACTATCGTCAGACTTACTCGCTTCTTCATTAATTGTTTCTTCCCGAGGAGCTTTAGCTTTACAAAGCCGCTCTGAGGAGTCGCTCATCGTTGTTAATGGTATGTTGTCAGCAGACCTATGTCAAAAATACATATACATAAAAACATACAAAAACACTCACGCCTGTCACCCAGAGGGGTAGGCAGAGACTACAGACTTCCATTTGGCACGATCCTGACACACCTCTCTCGCCTCTTTCACATCCATACACCTACGCATACATGCTCGTCGGTTAAGGGTACTCCTAGTTTGGCCCGTTATCAATAAATCGCCAATTTGGTTGATAAATTTTCGCCTAGGACGTCCCTTTCCAACTCTGCCATTCACTTCTGCAACATAAATTTTCTTTGTCACTCTTTCCTCATTCATTCTTTCCACAATACCAAACCACCGAAGCATTCCTTTCTTAATCCTGGTCACAACATCATCTTGCAAACCACACTCTTCTCTTATTACACAATTTTTTACCCTGTCGTTCATATTCAGCCCTAACATACTCCTTAACGACCGCATTTCTACTGCGTTGATTCTACTCTCGTGCTTCTTCTGCCACACCCAACTTTCACTACCATACGTTAAATTAGGGACCAACACAGCATTGTGAATTGCCATACGTGCCTTTTTTGACACATTTTGACTCTTCACAATAGAGTCGGGCCCCATTTACTCTATTTCCCGAATTATTTTCAAAAATATTTTATCAATACTACTTTTAAGTACTTATCATGCTTAATCAGACACGTTCATTTTCTAAATATGAGAGTTTTACCTTGCTTTGCGACAAAGTTTAGACTGAGAACCATGACGCCTTAGGAACTCGCCAGGATCAAAACCAGCAAATCCAGTTGGCTCAGCCGATACGAAAATTGCTGAGTTGACGCGCGGCCGATTACACCGCGCCAGCAACCTCTCCTCGCACTCCAAACTTTGAGTGTGCGTGTGCGACCAACGCATATGCTGTAACAAACATTTGAAAAGCGTTAATATTGGTGTCATCTATTTAGAGATAGGTTAAATAAATTAAAAACTATTCTTCCGTTTTTTTATGTTATTTTTACAGTTTTTCAATATAATATTAACAATAAAATATATGAGTAATTTACGTTATTGAATTACTATCAATTTCAAATGCGATAAAGTTATTGTTACAAAGTTTCCAATAAATAAGCAGCTGAATTTATTTCTGAAATTTCTAATTTGCAGACAAAACAAAAAAAAATCCCTTACTCTCCTAATTAACTTATTGATGATCATAACACAAAAAAGGATCGATGCATTACATGACTATAATTTAATATAAAAAAAATATTTTTTTATATTAAGAGTCTTTAGGGCTCAAATTAAATGACATGCCATATACGTCGCGGACAATTATTTAAAAAAATTATTAAGTTTTCAAGTAATTTTACAATTAAAAATAGTTTTTCTAAAATCTAAGTTTAAGGCTCAGTGAGTCATTATATCGTTTATGTAACGCCACCGCATGGTGAAATGACTTCACGTATGTGTACGTTTCCAAAATTTAAAAAAATTGTTACTGCACAAAACACACAGGTTATTCCGGGTGTTTGTGAAACGCTCCCGAAAACGAAGACAGACGATAGTACTAACGATACCTTATATGATGGGACAAAAAGCAAACCGATCCCGATGAAAAATAATCATATTTTCATAACATTTTGTTAGCTTTATTCACACTCCATCATGTTAATGCAGCTAAATGAAACAATGATTTCATTAAAAAGTTCATGAAAATACTGAAAAATAGAACTAGAAAAAAAAATTAAATGGATCCAGCTTATTATAGTTGCAGCTTAGTATAGTTGGGTACTACTGTACTACGCTCATTTTACCCTTCCCTTTCACACATGGGCTGCCGCTGCCCAACCTACTAAACATGTTCAGCGTTGCCAACAGTGGGGAATTCCCCAAATTGTGGGAAATTTAAATTTGGTTGAGGATTTTTTGGGGATTGATATTATGCGGGGAAAATGCTGGGATTTTGAAAATCAATAACCCCGACCAAGTGAGAACCTTTTTTCAAGAAATTTAAATCCTTATCTTAATATTTTTGTTATTCAATATTCATGAGCAACCTGCTCATGAATATTGAATGACTCACTTTTTTAATTATCTTCATTGTATCACATTTAATTTTCGGATTTATTTCGGCAAATTTTGTGTATCATTTCTTTATTTTTTTAATAATAAAAAATAAGTAGAGGCAATTGAGTCACGACACTAAAGATAAATCGTTCTGTCGGGTCATGTCAACTATCAAAGAATAAATGTTTGCTTTCTAAACAAGTATGTTTCATTTAGCAGCATTTTAATATTAATCCAAACTTTTAATATTGATCCAAACTTCGCAAAAGAGATTTTTTATAATTTTAGCGTGATTCTTTTCATAAAATTATATTTCAAAAAGTTAGTTAGGTAGTAGGATTCAGTAGGTATACGAAAAAAAAATTAATCATTTAGAATTTTTTTTTCCTCCAACCCAACTCCAAACATGACCAAAGAAATCACAAATAAAATTACCTGACCTACCTAACTCGTATCTCAAATATTTTTTTATTTAAAAGGTAAAGGAATTTATGCTCTTTATTCCTAAATACATGTTATCTTGTTAACGCAAACCATTTCTTAACTTTTTTTTTTCAGTATATGTAGGCAGTACAGTACATGAACTCAATCTAACGCCGTTCGTCTTTAGGAAATATAGTACCCAAACTCAAGCAAGCGGTGTGGTACTTTTTGATGGCAACAAGGAAAGGAATTAAAAATGGATTAAAATGCTTTTGACAAAAATATGGAAAGTGTGAAAAAAATCGATAAAAAACAAAAAATATGTTAGTTAAAAATAAATCTTATAAAATTAGTTGAAAAATATTTCATTTCTTAAAATAAAATTGAGGGGAATTTGTGGGGAATCTGGTGAAGTTTTCTCCCTAATTGGGTATTAGACATGGATTTTTGGGGAATTTGACAAATTGGTGTTGACAACATCGCATATGTTGCACCGAAATTTACCTACTAAGAAATGCACGCAACATAAAAATTGGAAGCGACAAGCACACCTGCAATTAATTTTCAATAGTTTTGACTAACCTCTTTTTAAGTTTAAAGTATTAAAAACGGCAAGTCAATTAAAATAAAGTAAAATAGTTAACTATATTTTACATTCACTCTGATAAATTATTGAACTTTATATATAATTGCAATTGATTTTGAGTATTAAATTATTCAATACCATTTCATTTCTATTTTCTTGTACCAAATCAAAGATAACGATGTAATTGTGTTTATAATCGTGTAAGTGAGCACCCAAGTAGGTACGTTTATTAATTTCAATAACATTTTTTAGTAACGAACTGCTTGTTGCGTCAGAGTATTTCGATTGTCTAATTGTATTAAAAATTGACAACTATAACTTCTAAGTTCCATATTAAGGATTGTCGTAGGAACAACTAAACTTATAAAATAAAAGTTTGTAATTTCGTAACGGTTTAATGATGTGCGGAAATGATCAAAGTGATTACCGCAAGGACACACGAAGTAAGCAGTAGGCATTTGTTTTGACGAGATTGATTATTAATTTTAGTTTTTGAAACAGTTGAAGACGTGTTAAAGTGCGTGTGAGCGACAGTTCAGTCAATCAGTTTGTTTATTAAATTAAATTGTAGATGATGACTAGTTGATGTTGATGGTAATAGTGAACAACCATCAACATCAACTCGTCATCGTTCTCAAGAATTGAACATTTCGCGCACTTATTTGAGAAGAATTTTGCATAAAGATCTCGGTATGAATGCGTACAAAGTTCAATTAGCTCTGGAGCTGAAATCGCATGACTATCCGATGCGTTTTCAATTTGCTCAATAGGCCGAATACCGCTTGATCAAAGATGAGCATTTTTACCCAAAAATCATCTTTTCAGATAAAGCTCATTTCCTTCTCGAAAGATACGTCAATAAGCAAAATTGTCGTATCTAGGGCTCAAAAAATCCACACGTCATCGTGAAGAAACCAATGTATCCACAACAAATGACTGTCTGGTGCGGATTTTGGTCTGGCGGCATTATTGGGCCATTTTTCTTAGAAAATGAGCAAGGAATCACCGTTATAGTGAATAGTGACCGCTAACGCATCATCCTAAACGTTTTTTTGTTTCCCAAAAATGAAACGCATAACGTAGTCGACATTTAAATTCAACAGGACAGCGCAACGTACCACACAACCAACGAAACAATCGATCCTTTGATCATAACACTATTTTCGAAAATAGCATAATCAGCCGAAATTCTGATGTCAATTGGCCATCTTGGAGCTACGATTTGACTCCGTTGGCGTTTCTTTTATGGGTATCCGTTAAGGACAAGTATTATACTAACCATTTAGAGACTTGAAACATGAAGCCCATGAGATGAGGCCTAAACGATCGAAAATGTACTGAAAAAATGGACGTATCGAATTAAATCTGGCCATGGCAGTCATTTGAATGACGTTGTCTTTCATTTCTAAATGGATAGGTTCAATCTTTCTAATAAACTCATAGCTTTGATAAATATTAATTAGTATTTTTTATTGCCGACGCATTGTTTCCACGTGGAAACTCATATTAACACGGGCTATATTAGTCTATGGTGTAGTAATTTCTTAGTCTATAGGCTATAGTTCTAGAAACTATGGTGATAATATGGCGGTATTGCGGAAGAAACAAAACCTACATAAACAAATGTATAATTATTTATGAAAATTGAATTAGTATGTATTTGAATTTATAATTCCAAGTCAAACCATTCCTATTTCAAAGTCAAATTTCAAAGAAGCCGGTTTTAAAAGGCGACTGTTTAACAAGTACCCAATAATTTAATCGTGTTACGTTTGTAATATTTTTCTTGTTTTACCGTTAAAGCGTGTAAAGGTCCACCACTGAACAAAGGCCTCCCCTATAAATTGCCTCATAGGGAGATATTTGCTATAGTTGCTACCATTGGCAAGCAGATTGGTCAACGGCAATTTTTTTTAGTTTTATTCCTCATTAGTAGGTAGGTAGGAACTATTGTGTATTTGTAGGCCAGGCCACACAAATACTTTCATACCCGCAGCCTGACGATGATAAGCACATTTTTAATATTATTATATATTTTTTATTAACCTTTATATTCGTAATTGGTCAGGATTGCTTGAAATTAAGTAATTAGTATATAATAATTAATGTATTGGTTCAAATACAACACCATACGTTGCACAATTAGTTAATGCATTTTCTTGCGAGCATTGCTCCAAATCTACCATCTGCTCAGGATCCTAAAATTAACAAAACTTAATCTGAGCCCGAGAATCTGTAAGAGTTCAAAAGTATTTTGTGGTTGATACTGATTAAGCCAAAACTTATTTTAAAATGTTAGAGATGTTAAACAACGACACCCAGACGTTTAAACATATACGTCTCTCTTCTTCTCGTCATGGATGCATTACGCTAAAAATATTGGACAACAACAACAAATACAATTAATATAAGTGAAAATAAAACGCAACAAAATCCAAACAAAGTCCGTCAAATTAGTATTAGTCGTAGTAAAGTAAAGTAAAGTTCCAGCCTATATACCTCCCACTGCTGGGCACAGGCCTCCCCTCATTTCTGAGAGTGTTTTAGGGCAAGAAAGTGTCCGCCGCGCTGCCCCAATGATTGTTGGCGACCTTCACATGTCTTCGAAATATTTTTTTTCTTATTCCTCAGACATTTTGCCTGCATACTTACAAGAACAATACTTCTTTTTACTAGCCGATAATAAGAATGTGTCGAATTTACCACGAGATATCCATGAAAGACTCTGGCTTGGATATTTTTGACCCAAGATCAAGGATATTCAAAACAGCAGTAAAAGAGCTTACAGTCATACACTCATTCCCATATCACATAGATTTTAAATTTGTTGCTTGTAAAATTA